ACGGGAATATTGGGGGCACAAAATGCAAGACATCATATAGAAGTGCATCCATATGATGATCAAATACTGAGAATCATTTTCTCGCAATAGAAGCACATGGTTACACACATCCCTCAGAATCTCACTTAACTGAAATGGGAGTTTATTTCTTGTAATAGTAACATTTTGTTACACATATCCCCTCAAATATCCCTTAAGTGGAATGGACGTTAGTTGACAATAGTATATAGGAAGGCTCCCGAACACAAAAAAATAGACATATGTTGTTCAAGTGCTGCATACAAAATGATGGTGGCAATAAATTTGAGCACATAAATATATATGAATAGAAGCATTGTAGTAAATGTTCTGTTGGAAAGATACCATTGATGCAACAAATAAAAAAACCTGAAATTCAGCAAGGTGCTTGCGTGGGACATCACGCATTAGTAATCTTTTCTTACCTTAGCCCCCTGAAACTAATCATATGATCCATGCTGTCCAAAATTATATGAGCTCATCATCCATGAATGAAGCGAAAAGGTGTAAAGTAGTGATAAGAAATCATCCTAATAATCAAACCTCTAGCCCAGTATGCACCCTGTATAAAATAGAAATCTATGAAGTCATTACCTGCACCTGCAGACACGGTTTGCAGCCAAGGCGTGGATGAGAAGCTCATCCAGCAACTACACATCATCGCCGGTCGCTCTCGACTTGATTATCTTCTTCATTTTCTACGCTTCATTACGTAATCCATAACGACATGCTCAGTGAGCGTGTTTTTTGCTACAGAACGTTTCCTAGTATGTAAAAAAGAAGAATTGCATCAAAATAGGGACACACTTTCAGTATAAATCTGAAGCATACAACATGATTCTTTCGCGTCTTGCTTTGAATAAATATTGTTCAGGTGCCTCCTTGTTGATGCGTATACACTGCACATCTGCAACAACACCATCAAAGAAATTCCATCAGAACAAAGTACAGGTTGTGCTTGTAAGATGCACAGTCAAATTGGATTACTGGATGAGAATAAATTGAAAGAATAGATCAAAGTAAATAAAGGCATATTTTTTTGCTTGTATGGAACAGAAAGAAGTAAACTGAATAAATCGTGTGATACTCCTAAACGACTAATCCACTTCCCAAAAACTTTAGAAGAGGTTCTTGAGTTCCTTGTGCAGAAGTACGCCCACATAATTAGATTGTATATAGCATCTAGAAATCCTAGCTATCCAAGTAATATGTAGGTATGAAACTGAACAAGTGTGTAACAGAACATGCATGTGTTCCTGAAGATGCAATTGGGGGAGGGACGGGAACCAAGACCTGGTTGCTTCTTGTTGTTGCATGAGGAGGAGATCAGCAGGGGCACCTCTGAGCACCTTCACGCCGGAGCACCTTGCCGCCGGAGGAGCCGGCCCTGGTCAACAGAGAAATAGGTCGGTCAGAGAGAGAGAGAGAGAGAGAGAGACGGGGGCAGGGGGGTTACCTGCCGGCGGAGAGATGGCCGTGCGACCTCAACCCTAGCGGACAGGGAGGGGCGGCGGCGCCGATGGGAGAGCTAGCCTCATGCTCGGGAAGGGGGCGGGGAGGATCTGTGCTCCTAGAG